GAGTTTCGGGGATATAGCACAGATTACTTACAAAACAGATACATCACTCCCATACAAAAGCGAAAATACCTACGCTATAAATGCGCTATAATAGCCTACAAAGTCTTAATAATAATATCTGCAATTCGCAGCGAAAAGAAAATGTACCATAAGTACGCGCTTAAAGGGTCGAGATTGTGTTGAATGCGCTAGGATTGTAACTACGAGTATTGATGATTATTGTCATAAAACAAATCTTGCGAAATAACCATATTTTGTATTTGTCAATCAAATATGTTTCAGTTTTATAAAATAATTAATACATTTCTTTCCTTCTTTGAATTCTCGGTTATTAAATCTAATCGTTGAAAATATCCTAAATCGCCTAAATAATTTTAATAAATAATCATGAGGAAAACAGGAGCAAAGCGGAGGAAAATCAATGGTTAGTAAAATTTGTAACACGCTGCTGCCAGGCCGATTCACTATGGCGTTGTCAAAATTATTTAAGACTTATTATATAATTCGGGTGTCCAGGTTGTTACTCAAATTATAAATCATAGCACTGTTATGCTGTTGTTTCGATGTAATCTTATAGTTAAGAAAAAAAATGACAATTTTTCATTTGTTTTTTGACTGTCACCCATCTACTGTACAATAATTACGTGGTTTCGGCATTTCAACGAGTAAGCGCGGGAAACGTGCGTGGTGCAAGCGCTGAGACGGGCTTGCGGCAGCCCAATGTCGGTTGTGTCGTGGGCGATACACAGAACGGTAGGCATATAACACAGGGATTTGAGCGAGTGACGGAGTGATATAGTGTCACCCTGTCTTACACCTGTCTGCTGTTGGATAGGTTTCGTATTCTGGCTCTGTACTCGGATAGCCATCGTAGCTCTACTGTAGAAACACTTCAGCACTTCGATATACCGACAGATAACCCGTGTAGTGGCGGGTAAGAATACTCACTACCCCATATCTTCCCATGGGTGTCAGCGGAAGAGGCGACAGAGGGAAACTGAGGCAGAGGATGGGCAGCAGCATCTTTCTGATAACAGCAAAACAACAACAAAAAAACTTCGGTTGCCAACCCGCTCGCCAAGCGTGGCAACTATGACAATATACCCCCCATGAGCAATGACATTAATAAACGGCCCCAAGTCCCCGGCGGCCCCGCTATTACTGGCTACGGTGGCGACCATCGTAACGGCGGGGCAGGGGGTGCTAAGAATCTCCGGTGGAGGTACGGTTGCCACCATCGACAACTCGACCTGGTAACTTGCAACCCCCTGAGGACTGATGAGAAGATCCTGGAGCTGGAAGAAGAGGTAGACAAGTTGCGCTGGAATATCATAGGATTATCCGAGGTCCGAAGGGAGGGGGAGGACACGGTAATCCTCGAATCCGGCAACTTGTTCTATCTGTCCCAAGGAGGTGTTGGATTTATCGTCCACAAGTCTCTCGTTAACAACGTTGTAACGATTGGGAGTGTGTCGACGAGGGTTGCGTACCTTGTACTCAGAATCACCAAACGGTATTCGCTGAAGGTCATACAGGTTTACGCACCAACCTCGGCACACCCCGATGACGAGGTGGAGGAAATGTATGAGGATATCTCTAGAGCCATGCGTTCCCCCAAAACCCACTATATGGTGTTAATGGGAGACTTCAACGCAAAACTAGGCACAAGAGAGAACGGCGAGCTGAAGGTAGGGAAATTCGGAATAGGGCAAAGGAACCAAAGGGGCCAGCAGCTGACCGACTTCATGGAGAAAGAGGGACTCTTTATGATGAACTCTTTCTTCCAGAAACAGCCCCATGGTAAGTGGACCTGGTCGAGCCCTGACGGTTCGACAAAAAATGAGATTGACTTCATTATGACGACCAGACGACAACTGTTCAGTGATGTGTCAGTGATCGTGAGAGTGAAAACCGGCAGCGATCACCGAATGGTGAGAGACACACTGAACCTAAATGTTAAGTTGGAGAGGTCACGTCTAATGAAGTCAACACTCCGTCCCCCTCGTGCTCTAATCCAAAGTCCAGAAACCTTACAGCTCGAGCTACGAAACCGTTTTCAGTGCCTAGAAGATTGCAATGCAGTGGACGATATCAATGACAAGCTCGTGGAAACTGTCCATGCTGTCGGAGCTAAGTTTTGCAAGACCCGCCGCAGAAGAACACAAAAACTCTCCGATCACACTCTTAATCTCATGGCTGTTAGATGGGATATGAAGCTGCAGTCTTCAGTAAATTTGACAGCATACAGGCAACTGAACAGACAGATCTCCAAATGCATGCGGCGGGACTTACGCAACTTTAATACTGCTCGTATTGAAGAAGCGATTGAGCGGAACCAGGGCTCCAAAGTCTTTGCTAGAGATCTGTCTGCCAGAAAGAGCCAACTGACGAAGCTGAAGACTGAGTGTGGCAGCGTTGTCTCCAGGACACTGAGATTTTGAGTGAGATTGAGAGGTTCTATAGGCAGCTGTACACATCACCGTTGGAGCCACATGTAAGTGTGAGTAACGATCCAAGAGTGAGTCTTATCCAACACTTTTCCGATAATATCTCGGACGTCAGTCTGAGCGAGATTAGAATGGCTCTCCAGCACCTTAAAAACGGCAAGGCCCCAGGCGAGGATGCAATTACAGCGAAGCTTCTGAAAGCGGGTGGAAATCCGGTACTTGAAGTGCTTCAGAAGCTTTTTAATTCCATCCTTCATAGTGGAATATGAATACGAATAGAATACGAATACCGTTTGGTGATTCTCAGTATAAGATATGCATTTCTCGTCGACTTACATCTTTACTACTTTGTTAATGACAGACTTGTGGACGATAAATCCAACACCTCTTTGGGCCTTGGGACAGATGGTCACCCTCTCGGCGATATAACAAGTTGCCGGATTTTATTTTATTTTTTTTATTAGTTTCTCCAACAGTTATAACGCAATACATTTGAATAAAAAATACAAGTTCCAACATGTCTTAAACTAAGTGCATAACTACTTATAGGGGAACACATCATGCGCCTTTTTTTTATAGGATCGGGTGACAAACGAGCACACAGTCCACCTGATGGTAAGTGGTTACTGTGACCCATAGACATCTACATCTATCCTCAATAAAGACTCAAGATGAAGATGCGTTGTCACCCGTGAGGACTAAGATGAAATGCCTCTTTGCCAGTAAAAAGGGTCTCCGGTTCTCTACACTCACCATACGAAACACTGCAGCGTTAAGCTGCTATTTTATGCTGGTTTTCTGTGAGAGCGTGGTCCTTCCCCGGTCGAGCCGACCCATTCGTGCTACAACCATAATATAGCTGCAGCATGGCTCTACCACGTAGAGATTTAGAAGCTTAATAATAATAAGTTACTTATATGTAAAAGAAAAGAAAAATCACAAAACCTATTTTAAGTTATTTTTTAACAAATTACAAAAGATATTTTTTCGTGATAAAGTCCCTGATCTGCTTACGAAAAAGTTTTAAAGAATCAAAATTAAGATCTACCGATGTGCTGCATTCATTGTAAAGTCTACTCAATCTAGGAACAGGAGAGAAATGACCCAGTTTAGTCCTACGCAATGGTGGGTTCATAGGTTGAACAGGCTTTCTCGGAAGCCGAGAAGGTATTCTGAAGGAAAAGGAATTTAACAAAGGAGGACAGTCTATCTTATTATGGAACAGCTTGTATACGAACATTAAATCTAAAATGTCACTTCTTGCTTCAAGCGGCAGTAAATTAAAAGCGAGAAGCCTACTTTTGTATGATATAAGCGATCGAGCTTTACCTACAGAGAACGCTATGTGTCGTAGAAACCTTTTCTGAACCCTTTCCAAGCGTAACGTATGTGTTGCTGCAAACAACACTGCAGTATTCCATAATGCTACGCATAAAAATTTTATAAAGAATCATCTTGGTCTTAACGGTCTTGAAAATCTTTGTATTGCATATGATGAAACCGAGCATTCCGGATGCCTTTTTTATAATATGGTCGAAATGTGTTATAAATGTAAACTTCTTATCTAGCAGCACGCCCAAATCACGAACATTGTCAACTTCTCGTAATTTGACACCATTGATTTGGTATGACGAATTTATAATTTTTTTTTTTGCGCGTGTATTTTATATGTGTACACTTTTTCGCGTTGAGTAACATATTGTTTTCGTGACACCACCTCGTCAACTTATGCAAGTCAGCTTGCAGGAGATTCACATCATCCATGGAATCAATTTCACGCAAAAGTTTAAGATCGTCAGCATATAAAAAAGATTTAACATTATTAAGGTTAACAGAGACATCGTTGACGAATATGTTAAATAAGACAGGGCCGAGGTGCGAGCCTTGTGGCACTCCTGATGATATTTTATAGATTTTAGATGAATAACCATTAACTACAACGAGAAAAGACCTGTGAGTTAGGTAAGAACTGAACCATTCCAGCAAGGCACCATGCACACCATAGGCTGAAAGCTTACGAAGAAGGAGGCAATGAGATACTTTATCAAATGCCTTGCTAAAATCAGTGTAAATAACGTCAATCTGTTTGTTATTGTTCATAGACTTAATCAGTTCTTCGGTGAAGCACACTAAGTTTGTAGAAGTCGATCTACCCCGCGTAAATCCGTGTTGTTGGTCTGTTAAAAATTGTTTGAAATAGTTTTGTATTAGGGGTGTAATTAATGACTCCATAACTTTACCCATTTGAGGGAGAATTGAAATTGGTCGGTAGTTTCCTATTACATTTTCACCGTCAGATTTGTAAATTGGCACAACTTTAGCCACCTTCCAGACTTCGGGGAAAACTCCAGACTTGAGAGAAAAATTAATTATGTAGTGTAGTGGAGTGACCAAATTTGATGCACAATTAACCAAAAAAATGGCCGGAATCTTGTCATATCCCGCCCCTTTCGACCTATCCAGCTTGGACAAACTTTGGTAAATCATTTCTTCTGTCAGGTTAATGGAACTGAAAAAATCATTGGAATATGTGATCGGTTGTGACTGTTCACCCTATTGATGAGACTGTTCTTCACTGTAGACAGAGGAGAAATGCGATGCAAAAAGGTTACAAATATCTTGACCATCAGATGTTGTTACGGAACCATCTGTCATCTCGGCCGGATATGAATTCAGACTGCCACGTTTCGATTTGACAAAAGACCAAAAGAATTTGGAATTAAGGGCAATATTTTCTTCAGTGCGTTTTATATAGGAATTGTAGGCATCCAACGATAGTTTTTCACACCTTTTTCTACAAATATTCAATTCTATTTTGTCTAACGGATTGTTATGTTTTTTGTATCTAAGTCTTATTTTATATTTCTCATGCAATGCCTTGATCAAACAAGAGCTAAACCATTTCGGAATTTTTTTGTTTCGTTTTTTTACAATTGGAACATCCTCGTTAATGATTTTGTTAAGTTTATCATAAAATATTGTTACCATGTCGTCCACCTTTCGTATTCCGAAAAAAACTTGGGACCAGTCAATTTCCACCAGTTTTCTGTTGATCATTTCATAGTCGGCCCTAAAAAAGTTTCGACTAGTAAAGTTACAGTTTTGTGCTATTAAGTTGTAATATTTTTTTGTTTTTAAAAGTATTTCTAAGGGAGGATGCAGCACATCGATTGCAGACAAAACATCGGTAGCACGGTCTACCTGTACTAATAAATGTGATTGCTCTAAGAATACTAGATCCAGGGCTTTTCCCTTAGAATTCGGAATATCGTTGTACTGTTTAAAGTTATTCATACAAGCAAAATCAATTAGTGTCTGACATAGCGTTGATTGAGTGGCAGAGAATGTATTATTTATTTCGCTCCAATCTATTTGGCTTAAATCACCTACAATCATTGGATATACATTATTTTCTACGTACTGGAAAATCTTATTACAATTTTCAGTAAAACTGTTAAGAATAGCATAGTTACCAGGGGGTGGTAGGTATACCGCGCAAAGTGCGATATTACATTTGGGGTTTGAGTCTATGCTAATTTTGACCCACAAATCCTCACAGGTACTTTCCCACTAACCTATACGTCTAGCATTATAATTTTTGGCGACTGCAATTAGTACACCTCCTCCTCTCTTATCATGGTGAAAAACCAGTGGTTTCCCTGTCCCTGCGAAAAACTGTGTATCTATCATCAAAAAATTCAGTACTGAATACGCTCCTGTCTATCCATGTCTTTGTTAAAATAATTACATCGTATTTGCTACAGCACAGATTACGGTAAATATTATGCGTTTTAGTTCGCAGTCCACGAGTATTTTGATAATAAATATTTAATTGAAGCTCGACGAATGAAAATAAAAACCAATGCATGCACACAAAAAGGAGTAAAATTTAACTTAGTACCTATTTCACTACTCTAATTTAGATAAGGTGTCCATATTTTTAATAACAATATAACCAGCTGTATCGTTTTTTCTGACAAATATTTTCCCATTCCTGACCCAGACGTACTTGAAGCCTTTATCCTTTGCTTTTATTCTTGTAACAGCGTGTAAGGCCTTGTTTGCAGGTGAAAGGTGTTCTGAGACAAAAATTGACGTTCTTGCTCCAGGGAATCCGAAATGACTACTATTCAGTTTATTTTGAGGATTGCTCTTGTTGAAAGTTATTGTTGCTGCCAGAATGTGATCCCGGGTACGAGTGGAGTCGAGCTGAACGACTATTGATCGAGGTCGAGAGCTTTCGCGATTCACTTTCGCAGTGCGTGCACAGTAGAGGATGTTCTGTTCAGATATTTTATAATTAACTATAGAGCGCAACCGAGATACTAATTCAACTAAACTTTCATTTTTCTTTTCCGGCATGCATTGAATCTCAAGATTATTAGATCTTGCTGCTTGTTCTATTTGGTTTATGCGAAAATTTATATCGTTTATTGTGGGTTGAAGTTTATCACTCCTTATTTGTAACTCCTGCATTGATTTTTTAGATGCCTTGAGCTCCCTGTTAATTTCCTCATACTGACTACTCATAAATGACATTGACTCTTTTACGTCTTGTATTTCATCTTTGATTGATTTAAGTTGGGTGTTAAGCAAAGTGCCCATTGAGATGTTAAGTTTAGTCAGTAAATTACTCATTTCCCTCTGTACTACATCTTCAATTATGTTGCGAAGCCCTGTGTTCGTACCATTGTGCACGCCTTCTGGTAAATTCACAATTGGAGGAGATATTACGGCAGGGCGTTTGCTAGGCCTTTTTGCTACATTAATTGACGCAGGCACAGATGTATGGTCGCCCCCGTCGCTGTCGCCATCAAATATTTGAGAGGTTGTTCCCGGCGGTGTTCTTTGCGTACTCATTTTGCTTATAAAGTTTTTGTAGTGTCAATGGTAAATAAATAAATAAAAATATTTTTCCTTCAATACGAGAAGATCCGTCCCATGCGTGGATTAGAACCAGGATTTTCGATTCATAGCGAGGGCGCGGCTACTCTAACCGCTGCGCCAACTAAACTTACTCGTAGGTGGGCGAATTTAAGAATCGCAAACAACTGACGATGAATGACTTTGCACTTTGCAGTAAATAATGTGGGTTGGTTAAGAATACACACGAATAGCACACTTTTAACTTTATCCGCGTGAGGGCGATTTTAATTAAACCGGGTTTGCAATGAACACTTTTTTAATGTTTTATAGTCAATCCCTTAATAATTTGAATATGTTATATTAGCACAGTAAACTGGATGGTGTGAAAGCACTCTTTTATATTAAATTTCTCGGGAAACGTCACTTTTAACAGTAATATGATTTTTCGAACACAGAGGTACACTATTTACGTCTTCTCGCTCGCTAGCACTTTTGTTATATGAGGAATACTGTGTTCTCCCCCTCCCTTTGGACCACGGATAATCCTATAATATTCCAATGCAACTTGTCTATCTCTTCTTCTAGCTCCAAGATCTTTTTGAGTGACTACGGTGTTAATAAGAGAAATAATTCTCATAATTGCATAATTTAATTCTCAGGACGTCGTCACTGCTATGACGCGTTTATTTTATGTTTAAATTAATGCTTTATACTGTTGTTTAAAGTATAAAATAACTTCAATAACTTTATGAATTCTTATATTTTGCAAAGAAAAAAGTCACGTTGTTGATAATTTTTACGATTTTGGTGGATACTTTTTTCATCAAACTAATTTATATGTACGCTAGCGATTGATCAACTTTATCGAAAGTGTCTATATTTACGATAAACTTGCAGCCTACACAACACAGAGGAATGAAATAAATACTCGATTTGCGTTGTAAAAACGTAACTTTACTTTGATTTTTACTGTTTACACTATAATTATACTGTAATCAAGAGAACAAGTTGAATATCTACACTCACACTTTTATTAATTTACTTTTGTTTGTAATAATAAAGGTAAACAATTACTAATATACCTTTTTTTCGTAATAAACACTGTTAGTATTTTTCTGGTGGTTTCCGAAGTTGAATCTAGTGGAGAGCTAGTTTAGTCGTTGGCAACCATTGAGATATAATGTACTACGTACTAGAGAAGACGCCTTAACTCGATTGTTTGTAACACGAGTTAGAGTGCGCGCTCTCAAACTCACTTAGTCTGTGTCAAGCGGTTGTTGCAACGTGAGAAGTTAGAGTGAAGAATTATTTTTAAATTAATATGCCTTCGTGTGCATTGAGATACTGTTCAAACTACTCGAGAAATATAAGGAAAAGTCAAGGAGTGAATTTTCACCAGTAATTTAAACTTATTATTATCTTTAAAACACGCTTAATTTAATTATATTTTATCAACTGCAACGTATACGTGAATGTCAAAGAGTAAAACATTTTTATGCGCAGACTTGACACTATCGACGTATAATGTTAAGTAATTATGAACAGTAAAATATTTATATATAACCACTGTAGGAAATGTTAATGCATTAAAATTAATATTTTTTATTATTATTTTTATTTAATGTTTTCCTCGGCTGTGTCATGAAACAAAATAATCATGGATCAAATTTGTTCAGAAGAATTGCAGCGAAGAAACGTCAGATTATTCACGCATATTTTCCGTATAGTTCAAAAAAATGACAAATACACCGCAAAAACAGGAAGAGTGTACTTCAAGAAATAAGCAGTACCATGCGACAATGTAATTATATAATTATATAACATTGCTGGGATTTTTGTTTTATTTTTTGATTAGACGACGAACGAATGTTTTGTAATGTTCAGTATATTTACGGGACTTAAGAGAGATGGAAACCTCGGCGCGCGATTAATTCTAGTATATGACGGTTTTTTAATATGTAACACTAGAATTTTTGCAGGCTTCCCAAATAACTAGTATCTTTTTTCAGCCAACAAAATGTGGTGAACAGGAAGTATCAGAACCGTTGTCTGAATCAATAAGCAGTACAAATTCAATTTTAGATATTCCGAGCAAAATTGTACTTAAAAATAAATTACGCAAGTGATGTCTCCTAAGCTAAGTTTGAGTGATGTATACGAAGCCTAAGCTTTTAAATATAGTTCTACTTTAATAACGGAATCAATAATTCTAGGTTATTATAAAAAGAATAAAATATAAGCACGTTGTAATATTGTGTTTGTATTTAATAGCACGGAATCTGCAGCTAGAAAGAAACTTACTGAGAAATTTAAGACAAAATATTTATCTAAAGAAAAAATGTGCTACTTACAAATCAATTGTAGAAAATTTGAAACATAAATTCGGTCTCAACTTAAATGCTGAGATTGATTTAATAGGTAAAGCAGAAGTTATGGAGTAACATAAATCTTTAACGAAAAAGAATAAACAGAGCACGCATTATTAATTATACACTTCATGCACCTTTACGTAAATTCGCATTGATTTTACACTATTATTCACCAGCTGCGTATAGACAGACACGTTAGAGAATGCTAGAAATGCAATAATAATGATCTTTGAAAATAAATGCATATTTTTATATTCTACATATTTACCTTTTAAAGAATTAAATAAAATATAATTAAAATGTAATTCTGACATAATATTATGTTACATTATATTAACACATTATGCAATATAAATAACAATTTAAAAAATTGTACTCGATACAATTTACAATACAATCTAAATATACATTTACTTATTACATACTGATCATTCTACCTACGTATATAATCTATGATGACAAAAACCGCGCATGCGCGACTGTACTATTTACCGCGCATGCGCGAAGACATAAAATAGTGCACAGTTTTTGTTCGGAATAGCTTCTCTAGTACGTAGTGCATTATATCTCAATGTTGGCTACACTGAACGGGGCAACCCGACCAAAGACTACAATTAACATGGATCATGGACTTGTATCTTCTATCTATGACTATTAACGGAAAGGAAAATCCAATACTCTTTGGGAAAACCCCGTCTCTCAAAATTTTGCTCCGTCGCAAGCACAGAGTACTTTTATATATACTGAAAGTCGCAAGATTGTTTGAATTTGCACTACGCCATTTAGTTTTCGTGTTTCTATTTACAGTGTTCGTTGTTTGTGGCTGTAACCGACTCCTTGGACATTTTTATTTAGAGATTTGATGTGCAGTAGTATTCCTGGTAGTAAGTACTTCATTTTTTAATTATAAATCTTGTTTGCTTTATATTTTAACTGTGTTCGAAACGAATTGTATGTACCTACCTATATCAATGTTGTGTGTTGGATGTTAGGATATCAATCAGTCGAATATTTATTTTGGTAAGTATGTAAAAAGATCTGAGGGTAAAATCTTACTTACTTATCTTCACGCACAATCCCTGACGGGGTAGCCAGAGAGAACAGATCGCCAAGTGTCACGATCCTTACATATCTCTTTCGCTTCTTTCAGATTCATTATCTTCTTCATACATGCACGTCTAGGTATCCGAGTACTCTTGACCCTACCCTCTTCGAGCAATTTGCTCACATGGTCTTCGAAAGTTAGTCTCGGATCTCGGTCTACCTACGAGGGTAAAATCGATTCTGTTAATTAATTTATCAAAAGATGTTGTTACGATAGTGCATCATCATCATCACCATCATCATCATCACCGCCATCATCACCGCCATCATCACCACCACCACCATCATCACCACCACCACCACCACCACCATCATCATCGTCGCCGTCGTCGTCGTCCGTCGTCCGTCGTCATCATCATTATACTTTGTGAAGGGCTATACTTTACAAGTCTACTGCTGAACATAGGCCTCCCCCAAGGAATGCCATGAAATAGTTCTATTTAAACTAATTTAATTGTGATAACTGACCGATTGCGATTATTAGTCATCACAGCCAATCACAGTTCCCCTTTTATGCTTTTTCAAACAACATATTATGCCTTTCCAAAAGATTACACCCATTGTTCCTGCTATTATTATAAAGAAACTTGAGTGCTCTTTTTTAATGAAAATGTTTGCATTACTAAAATTTTACCATAACAATACCTTATTACATTATAATATGTAGAAAATTATTATAATCTCAGATATAGTTCAGATACTTGTGGATACATAATATTCTTTTTTTTATTAGACTAATTTTACCAAAACAATATACCAAGTAAATTGTAGCTTCAAATAATTTTTCTTTACAATAATAGCCAGCATTCAGAGACAATCTCCAGTTTTAACTCACTCTACAATGTCAAAATTTGAGTCAGTATAACAATGATTTCTTATATTTACGAGAATACTACACATTAAATGAAACTAATTTTACAGGTTTTATCATGTTTACATTGATATTAATAATCAAGTTTAGGTTGAAATTAATTTTCAAAAACTGAAGGTAGTCTGAAAACTGAAGGCTAACTATAACATAGGGACGTCAAAAACCTGTCACCCCCCTGACCATAGGTGCTGCAAGCCACCTGAAATGTTGGAAATTAAAGTCAAAATGAAACATGATAAAATCCTTAAAATTAGTTTCATTTAAACAGTATTAATATACACGAGATTCTCTGAATATTGACCTGAGGCTCCATACCTCAAAAGAACAAACTGTAACCTTTTAGGATCATTTTGTTCTCCATCCATCTGTCAAGACCCTTTTTCTAAGAACAGGTAAAAGTATTAAGTTGTAAATAATATTATTATTAATATTATAATATTAAATATACGGTCTACAGTCATTTGAAGGTGTAAAAAATTCAAGCTTCTAAGTCACTGCAGATAATAGATATGGCAGTCATTTGTCTCACATATTGTGATACTTGCATATTCACTCATTAAAGCCTATAAGATTTTTCTCAATGACTAAGAATCATGAAGTTTTGAAAGAAGCTATTTTCACTGCATATGTAAAGAAAAATATCCAAAAAT